CCCCCCCCCCCCCTCCCTCCCCCCCCCCAACTCCCCTTCATTACTTACTTGTTTGAAAACAGAACCTTTTTCACATTTCCCAGTACGTCTCCGGCCGGAGTAGTCAAGCAGTCCGTGACCACAAGCTTCAGCTGGTCATCGTAGTCTGTCATCAGCACGGCCATGTTCAGGTACTCGCCCAGTGGGATCTGCACCGGGTTCGTCACCTCGGGGGTGCTGAAGCTGTCGTTACGGTAAACCTCCATGGAGAACTGACCCGGAGCAGAGAAGAAGAGACAAAGTTAAATGTGGCATGACGTGGTGGAATCAGGCGCTCGTCAATTTTTGGGCATGTGGAGCTATTGATATCACCTGAAAGCTTATTCATTTGCCTTGCTTTGAATGAAAACATTATCCATCTAGCTTGAATAGAGGTCAAGATATTTGCGATTGAAGAAGGTGGGGTAGCCTGGTTTCAGTGGTTAAATTAATGAGAAAATGGCAGCCAAAGTTTGGCAACTTCAATAGCTTCTGAGTCCTGGAAAACTGAAAATTACATATTGTGTGCCTTTAAACAAGGGTTTTCAGTAAAAATCAAATGCAAATGTATTTTCATACAAACATAAAAGGTGTTTAGCCAAAAAACAAAATTACGATAAAAGTTGCCAAACTTGTGGAAATATGCCCTTTTCTCCGATTTCATCATTTTGACGAGCCCCTGGTTTAACCACGATGCCTCACAAATAGTAAGGCATTGTTGCTGTGAAATCAGGCGCTCATCAAAATAACGTGATCATGGAAACCGCCATTTTTCTAGCAGTTGGGCACTTTTTTTTTTCAAATTATTATTTTTGTTTTTTGTTTTAACACCTTTTATGTCCATTTAAAACAACATTTCTACGTGACAACTGGGAGTCAAGAGCCCACGGCTCTCGCCCACGCGGTTCAAAACTAAGCTTAAGATAATAAGCCTACAGGATATTGAGCAAAATGTGACGCAGCGTCTAACGTTTATTTTTATCCGCCGCTTATACCCTTTTGGGTGTCGCGGAATGCGACAAACGCAGTGTCTAAAACTTTTTAAAAAGCAGTATAGAATTGTTGTCAACACTTTGCAGTCACCCAGCCAGCAGTACAAAGTACCCCATCTGGTCACCCGGCCATGAGAGCGACTGCAACAGACTTCTCGGGCCTGGCACAGAAAAGCGCCAGGTGACCGGAACGGATTATTTTCACCAGCGCATTACTGCGCCAAGTGACTGCAAAGGGTTAATGTCTGAAAAAAAAAAAAAAACCCAGACAGAATCAGTATTGGCTGAGCCTTGGGAGTCGAGGATTCTAGTGTTACCAAGGTCAAGAGGGGAAGTGGGAGCTAAATAAAATAGCCTGCTGTTAAGGATTAAGAGATGAGACAGGCATGAAATCTCTCTTTTAGGGTAGTTTTAGTAGAGGGTTTACAGCACTCGCAACTGCATAAGGTCATATGAGCGTCAGAAGATTAAAGGTGTTACAAGAGAGTAACAAACATAAAAAAGAAGAAGGGGAGATAAGGACAATAGATGTTTGATAGGAAAGAAGAAGCAAACCACACCAGAGCACCCACCAACCACCCACATTTTTTGACCTTACTATACCTGGAAGCGCCCTATTGCACTCTGGGTGACCGACTCTGTCAAAGGCTGGACCCGTTGAGTCACGGTGTCGTTCCGTGGGTACGAGCAGTCCAATATAATCCTGCAAAGGAAGTTTACATTAGATAAGAAAGACATATGTGAGGAGTGCTGACAAAATGAGTTACTTCTCGGATTTTAGCCCTGATGAAAAAGATACGTCTAATTTATAGGTTGACTTTTTACAATTCATTAGGAGTAAATGATAAAAGGCATGTTAAACTTGAAGAGTATAGCATTACTTAAAGATCTACAAATTTGACCCTTGTATTGATTTTCAGCCAATATCTCCATTCCCTGATTGCGATAAGTAACTCATTTGGTCAGCACGTCTCACATATGTGTCACGACGCAATGGAATCAGGCGCTGGTAAATTTTTGGGCACATTGGTATCATTTAGAACAACGGACAAGAGATTAATATCTTGAAAATAAAAAAAATATTGTAATTTGGGTGAATCAGAAAGTATGGGTGCAGGATGGGAAAAGTGGGGGTGGGTGGGGGGTTTGACTATAAACAGAATTTCTCCCTCTCTCTCTCTCTCTTTCTATCTCTCTCTCTCTCTCTCAAGTAAGTTTTCTTTGTGACTTTCCAATCTCCCTTCCCTATAAATAGAAGGAGATCTTTTACAGTCAAATTACTACAGTCAGACTATACTAAGCCTTTGTGTGTGCCTTTGAAGACAACCTGAAAATTGTCAATGACTTATGTTAAATAGCAGTAGTTCCTGGTATAGTAAGGCTTTCTCGATAATACTAATACTAATAATAACAATAATAATAATAATAAATAGCATTTGAATAGCGCATGTTCCTACTCGACGGCACGCTCTATGAGCGTAACACTCTATTATTACCGCCAGCAGACCATAGAACACTCAAAAACATTCTCAACTTTACGGGAAGCGTACAGTACAAGCAGCTGATTAAGAGCTCAAAGATTAACAAACGGACAAGATCTTTCACTGTCTATAGCCGGGTACCCATTCCCCCCTGGGTGGAGTGAGGAAAATTTGTGTAAAGTGACTTTCAGAAGGACACAACAGTCAGGCTCCTGACAGGATTTGAACCCAGGACCTTATGGTTGCGAGTTTCAGAGCTTAACCATTAAGCCACCACTTCAATTCGGTCAAATATTTCAAGAACTCTCTCTGAGAAATGAGACATTTTTTTGGGGGGGGCAAAATCTGCACATGCACAAAACTGTGTTTAAGTTTCAACAGTGTCATATGCTTCAAAACTAAGGTCTATAAATCATATTGTGTTTCATCCTTCCCACATACAATCTGAAAGTGGACTAAAACTCAATGTTTGGAAAAACTACAAATTATGTGGGATCTCTTAAGACCTTTTCAGACATATTGAGCTCTTAAGCAAAGAAAAGATTAAATAGGTAAGTTAAGACAAAATACGTTTTTTGAATCTCCATACAGATAAATTTGCTGCATATGTCAACACAGACACACACACACAGACACACACACACAACACAACACACATATAGACAGGTACACACACACACACACACACACACACACACACACACACACACACACACACACACTCCCATTCACACACATACACGCTCAATTGATATTTAGCTGTTTTCAGAGGCACATATACTGAGAATTCTGCAATGCTAGCAATATTTGCAGGCATTCAAAATGTACCTTGAAAAACAAGAAAATCAAGCTGAAATAAGTCAGTGGTTTCGACAGTGCTAAATGCTGCTATTGACAAATTGCCAACAAACTATTCAGCTGTTCTAAGCCCAAAAAGTAAAACTTTTTCAGGAGAGAGGGGAAACAAAACAAAACTGCGTCATTATTTAAAAAAATATTTGTACCTACAAAATGTACCTTTCCTTGCTTTTTAACATTTAAAATTAGAGTTAGAATTTCAACAAAACATTTCTCTGGAAACAGATTAAGTAACAGCTACAAGCTTTCATTCACAAAATTTGGGCTCAGTACATCTGAACCATGTCACAAGATCCGCAGGACTTGCCAAAACAATCCTACAAGGAACCGTGCAAGGAAAGAGAAAGAGAGGAAGGCAGAGAAAGAGATGGGAGGACAAAATCACAGAGTTGAGAGGGAAGACGATGGGTGACAATCTGAGGGAAGCAGAGGACAAAGAGAAATGGCGAGAGCTGGTTGTCAGATGCAGTGGTGAGCCCACGGTTGCCCCAACCACGGGATAGAAGAAGAAGAAGAAGAAGAAGAAGAAGAAGAAGAAGAAGAAGAAGACATCTGAAAAGCTGAAGGCAGACTATATTATTACCCGTCTTTTAAGATTGTGGTGGGGGGGGGGATGCAGAAATTTTAATGGGCAGCCTTGAAAAAGAAAGAGCTGGTTGAACAAGAAGAGAACAAAAACGTGACCTCTAGGTAGTGCTTGCTCCCATTTTAAGAAGAGCCTACCTGTAGGTGTTGACTCTGGTGATAAATCCTACCTATAGGTGTTGACTCTGGTGATAAATCCCTCCTGACTTGTGTAGTCATATTTGAGAATGTTGGAGTAACGCACATGGGTAGCATTTCCCTGTGGTGGAGACCAACATTGACATAAACAATTATACGTCTGTGGACCGAGAACAACATACGTGAAGCAGCCTGGTGAAATCAGGTGCTCGTCAAAATAACGAAAACGGAGAAACAGGCATTTTTCTGTTAGTTTGGAAATTTTTAATGAATTTGTAATTTTTTTGTTTAACCTCTTTTAGGTCCATATGAAAACCCATTTCCAGTTAATTTTACTGAAAAACGTTGATTAAGGCACAAAATATGTCATTTTTCTGTTTTCAAGGACTCTTTAGCTACTAGAGTTACCAAACTTTGGTGGCCATTTTCCTGCTAATTTCACCAATGAAACCAGGCTATCTCACTTCCTTCAATTGTAAATATTTTGATTTCTATTCAAGATAAATGGATACTTTTTTTCATTGGAAGCAAAGCAAAGAAAACAGCTTTCAGATAATACCAATAACTACACATGCCCAAAAATTGACGAGCGCCTGCCTCCCCCGCGTCGCGACACATATGTCAGTGGATGTGGCTGTGATTTTTTTTAGGGGGGGTCTTTTAAGAAGATAATACATTTTTCCAGCTCATTGTCTTGGAGATAAGACCAAGACAGCATCATCAGTTCCATGAGAAACACCACAGCTTGCACTAGAAGTAGTTTTCTTCTTGCAAGATGAATGAATCTCTTTTCTCAAAGCTACACATGACTCATACATTTTGTCCCTTAATGGCCTTTGAAGCTTTTCAGAAAAGGAGTATTTGTACTGGAAAAAGAAATCTTTTTTTTAACGACATTTTTTTCTTTCATGGCCATTAACAGCTTTTAGAAAAGACGGCCCGCCTCTTTACAGACCTGCAGAGGGATCATCCAAGCCAAAAGCAGAGACGAGTGGCTAAACAGATGGGCCAAAGCAGAAACAGGAAGATCTCTCTTCGGGTACATGGACAAACCCAACCCCAAAGTCCCTTCGAATTCTTATGTAGAGCTGGTCAGACTTTGATCTTCAGAGCGTGCACAGGACACTTACACACCAACAAGCACATAAATAGAATTAACCCCAAGTGGGAAGCCCATTGCAGACATTGTGACTACCACGAGGAGACCGTTGAACATCTTCTCCTTCACTGCCCAAACCTGGCAGTTCTTCGACACAGGCTCCTACACACACCTACAGACTTACAAAGCCTGCTTTACTCTGGCGTTGACCAGATGACAAGGACCCGTGGTTACTTGAGGGAGGCATTGCGTTGCCAAGAGCGATATGCTCACAGCTAAAGGGATTTGAAAACAACAACAACAACATCCAAGATGGCCACCCATAGTTGAGAAGAAAAGCGCTTGTCTCAAACAGGCAGACCTCTTGGTCAGTGTCATTATAATGTAGAAAAACGCAAGTAAAGGCACAACACACTAGATTGAGACAACATATGTACAAATGTTTTAAACTAGTACAATCACCAAAATGCCAGTGTGGAGAGGCGGATCGAACAGTTGAACACATCCTTCAGCACTGCAAGACACAGGGGCCCTGAGACAGGAAACTTGGCCAACCCCACTGATGCTACAAGAGAAGCTATATGGGCCGACAGATGAACTGAGCAGAACGGCCCAATTTATGACAGATACCAGACTTCAAGTGTGATGTGATCGAGAAGAAGAAGAAGAAGCAAGAAACGGGAAGTGGCCGTTTGTACATGTTACTGTCTTGGCCAGGTGACCATTAGAGCAGGGTAGACTGTATTAGCAGAAGTTAATTATCAGCTCTAACAAGTGGGTGGTTGGCAGGTGCTCTGGTATGGTTTGCTTCTTCCTTCCTATCAAGCATCTATCATCCTTATTTCTCCTTCTTTTTTGTGTTTGTTACTCTCCTGTAACACCTCTAATCCTTATCACCTATATGACCTAATTGTGTTGCAATTTCTATAAAACACTTCATCATCCAGTGCCATATCTGCGACAGACATCAGCGATCATGGTTCTCCATTCATTCCTTTGCTTGGATGATGCTCTCAATAAAGCTACATTTCCCTGATCTTTCCCTATTACCAATTTGTTTAGGTTCCCCAAGTATGTTGTTCTGGGCCAACCCCTGCCTCGCTTGCCCTCCATTTTGCCAGTGAGAGCTAGATGTTCAAGACCCTTATGTCTATTTATGTGTCCCAAAAACTTCATTAGTCGTTTCTTGATTGTTAACATTGAGCGTCCCACGTGGGCTTCATCAAGCTCTACCTCATTTGATTTCCTTTCCTTCCATGATACTCTAAGCAGTCTCCCAAGAAACCACATTTCTGTTGCTTCTATTTTATTTTCACTGTCTTTAGTGATTGTCCAGCATTCACAGCCATATAGAAGGGGTAAAACACTTACTAAAGCAAAAACCTCTAACAAATTTGCAAACACAACTCACAGATAAAATTGTTCCACATTTGTTGACCGGTATGGAAATGGACACCGCCGTGGTGGTTGTGTCTTTGCTGACGTCGGCACACGCGGGATCGGAGAACACCGTTATATGCTTGGCCTCCAGGTCTGGGTCACTTATACGTGAGAAAGTCGCCACCAGAAGACCGTTGGCGCACTGCAAGTCTGGCACCGGAGCTGAGGAAAGTCAACAGTGAGAAATTAATAATAAGAAAAAGAAAATTATAATAGTGATAATGATAATAATAATAATAATAATAATAATAATACCTGTAATAATAATAATAAACAATAACAATAAAATTAAAGATAATAACACTAATAACGATAATAACAACAATGGTAATAGCAATAACAAATATGACAGTCGCACAGTACAAACTCACTGCTTTTGATATTAATGACCAGCCAAACTAGCTGCAAGTGTCGTCATCTCCTGAGTTAGTTCAAAGAGTGGTTTTTGGGTCACTGCTGAACATTCTATTATACTTAATTAAAGCCCTGGATCGATAACAACAACAACTTAATTAAAGCACGAGAACTTTGGTATGGCACGGTAGACGTTTTACCGTACTATCTACATAGTTAGGGCTGTTTGATAAAACGGTTGGCAAGTGCTTGTTGCTGGCTGCTTTATGTAACAAACATAAAAAAGAAGAAGAGGAGATAAGGACGATAGATGTTTGACAGGAAAGAAGAAGCAAACAGCACCAGAGCATCCGCCAACCACCGACATTTTCTGTTTGAGGGTACTTTTCGCAATAGAACATTAAACACTTTTGGCTGCAGAGCACAACCAGGCTCTGCAGAAGAACCACACCTGTACTGGCAATCGTCAGACACTGATAGATGAACTATTTATCGCTACTGTAGTGTGCTGCTTTGGCCAGCATTATTTCCTGACACCCAACACAATGTGATCTGATCATGCAGACGGCAGGGATGCCAAACGATTTTGGAAAAATAAAGGAAAATGAGCGGAGCATTACACCTCACCTAAAACGAACCTTGTAAAATCTTTAAATGAGCAAACAAAAACATTTCTCTCACCATTCCCCTTTCCTTCGCAAGTGTAGGAAAAAAACCGGTAAAAACCGGAAAAAAAGGAGATTTGGCATTCCTGAGACGCAGTTCTTTGACCAATGGGATCTCACTAACCAGCTGTTCAGATGTGCTGAGCCCAACATGTTTCATTTTTAAAAAATTAGTTTTTAAATAATAATAATAATAATAATAATAATAATAATAATTGCATTTATATAGCGCATATCCATGCTCAAGAGCATGCTCTAAGCGCTTTACAATTATTATTACCCCAGCAGACCCTCTGAGAACACTCAGAAACATTCTCGGCTTCCACGGAAGCATAAATCTGTGGTATCAGTTGTATGTGCTCAAGAAATGTTCTGTCGAAATTCAAATTCCAAACGTTGAAAAAGAGTGACAAAATACACATATTTTGCGCACGGTTTTTTAAAGAATGAAACAAATCTTTCTCTTTACTGAAAATTGTTTTAAAAGAATGAACCAAATGTTCCTCTTTACTGAAAAATTCTCTAAAAGAATGAAACAAATTGTTCTCTTTATTGAAAAATTTTGTTTCCTGGGTTTAGAACCAATGAACAGCTTGCTGACGATCTTTTCTTACGTGGCGGAGGCTCGTAGTTGGCAGCCACACACTGCACGCCCGCCAGCTCCCCGTCTGTCTCAAGACAATCCTCCACTCCCCACGCGGCGTGCGGACAGTCTTGCAGCGAGGCCTCCGTCCCAGCACACTGCGTGTTATCCAGGATCACGTCTGGGTTGGCGGGCTGAACTCGATGCTCCGCGGGGATACCCGGTTTTGCTATGTACGTCGTTCTGTTGAGAAAGATGATAAATAACATAATTTTAATTGTGAGGCAGCATGGCAAAATCAGGCGCTCGGCAAAATAATCAAAGTGAAATAACTGGCATTTTTCCGCAGGTTTGTGAATTTTTATCGAATTTTCGATTTTGGACTCAACACCTTTCATGCTAATGAAAAAACACATTTCTGTTTGGATTTTACTGAAAATCTGATTAAAGTCACAAAAAAAGCAAATTTTCAGTTTCCACGGACTCTCAAGCTAAGGAAATAACTCATCTTTGGCAGCCCTTTTCTCGCTAAAGGCACCTCTGAAACTAGGTGACCCCTACCTCCTTCATTCGCAAATATCTTGACTTCTATTCAAGATAAATGGATAGTTTTTTCATCCAAAGCAAGAAAACGAAAAAACTTTAAGATGATACCAATAACTCTACATGCCCAAAAATTGACGAGAGCCTGATTCCACCACGTCGTGACACAATCATAGTTTGTCAGTCATTGTCAGATGTGTCAGTCATTGTCAGATGTGTCAGTCATTGTCAGATGTGTCAGTCATTGTCAGATGGTGATCAACGCAACAGTAGAGCAGGCCTATGATATTTCTTAGAGCAAAACATAAGAAATGAGGTTAGAGGTGACATGTGGCTTCCGCCATGGCTAAGGAGAACAATTCTGACTGAGAAGAGTTGCCCCTTTAAAAAAATCTTTAATTTAAAAGTTTCATTTAACCTGATGGACCCAAGTGCATGCCAGAGTGGTATTATGTTTACTCTTCTGTGCATCAAATACAGATGACATGGTGAAGCGCATTTTTTAAATTTTTTTTTAGAAAGAATTTTACAGCATTTGCAATACAAATATGTCACGTAAAAGCTGAAGACTAGAGGTGTTCCTAGAGAGTGACTTGTGAAGAAAGAAAGGATGAGAGATAAAGATGATAGATGTTCGCTAGGAAAGAAGAAGCAAACTATACGTAACAGAGAACCGGCAAACCACTCACAAGAAGAGTACTAACACATCCTTAGCATTCTAAAGTACACAGAAATGAAATGAGGAAGGAGTCAACTCGGCAACTTACAGAGACCAGTTTGTCATTTAATGCTGCAGTTTCTACATAAAAAGGTACAGAACATGTGTCATATATATCTGTACCCGTGGATTTATGCACCCCGCATAATTTTTTCAAAATTTGATCATTTTTTGTCTAATTTCTGATTATTTTCCTTTATCATTCTTTTTTAAAATTAACAGAATCGTATAATTTCACATTTTTGGGCTCATCTTGCATAATTTCATAATTTTTTTCTAGCGTAAAACGACGGGGACAGATGTATTCTGACAGGCACACAGCAGAGAGGGGCCTGGCAGCTATCAACACATTATGCCTATGTGACTCTAATTTGCCATCAACTAAAGTAAAATCTTTCCCTCTGATAAAACATTCCCTTCAACATTTTCAAACACTGCCAACTTTCTCTTCATAAGTTATCGAGTGCCCTTGAATTGATTTTTTGTACATCTGAAAAGATATTCACTGATGACCAGAAAGTGACAGCTGATGTTAAGATGTACTGCCCTCATATTTTACCTGTGAAGAACTTCATCTTGCCTTTATTGATATTTTTTTCTCACAGTTTTTGAAAAGCACATCTGAGCTTTCAAAATCAATATAATGATAATGATAATGAATAGCATTTATATAGTATATATACCGATTTAACAGCAAGCTCTAGACACTTTACAATCTAAATTATTGCCCCAGCAAAGCCTACAACACTCAGAAACACTTTCTTCTTCCAGGGAAGCACACAGAGCAAGCAGCCCATTATGTTCTCAAACATTAACAAACTGGCAATTTCATCTCTCGAAAATCTTCGAGGTAAAAGTGTTTTTCTTTGATCTTGAACGGTTGTTTCCAATATTTTTCTTATGTTTGAAGACGAGCTGTCCTTAAGATTTTCCCTTACACGATCAAGCTACTTAGCTAGAATCTCATCAATAAAGATACCATGCTGGACTACAGAGCGGATGGTCCTGGTTGGAATTCCCAAAGTGGCAGAGTTTTTATAGAAGGCTCTTCATCAATTTGGCTCGATCCTAATGGAGGTGGATGCTAAATTTGGAGATCGCGTCTCTTAAATGACCTGACAGTGCTGAAAGGGGCATTAACCTCATACAATAGGTCAATAAATCCCACCAAAGCAATTTAATTGTGGGTGGTTGGTGAGGTGTGCTCTGGTATGGTTTGATCCTTCTTTCCTATCAAACATCTATCATCCTTATGTCTCCTCCTTCTTATTTGTGTTTGTTACTCTCTTGTAACACCTCTAATCTTTACCCGCATACATGAGCGAAGCACATAACCACTAATAATAATATTAAATAGCATTTATGCTGCACATTTCGATTTCCTCAAAAAGGCTCAATGCGCATTACATAAAAAAAAGACGTCACATCTTAAAATTAATCGACATGTGTATGTGTACTCATAAAACACAGTATAATGTCTTGCAATGAGCTTGACAATGTGTTCACTAAAAATATAAAATGCAATACAAATTCACCAACGGTTACAATAAAACTGAAACTTGAATAACTACACCACAGACACCTGTAAATCACTTGACTACAGAGGCCTGTAAATAGCAGTGGAGACAATTTCATTCGACTCGACGCAAATCAAAACTTACGGGAAGCACAACTGCGCACAAACAACTTTGGCGGCCATCTCGTTCCAGCCGTCGTCACACACAAACCCCCAGCGGCGAGTGTTCGGGTTCTGGATTTCTACAAAACCTATACCAGGAACACCTTGCTTCCCGACAAGACGGACAGTCGGGTTAGTCGTTTGACCTGTGAACAGACGGAAAAGAACACTATGATAAACGAGGTCATTAAAAAAATATCTTGGAGAATGGAAGTAGTATTAAAAGGTCCAAATAAAGGAACTTATATATTACATCATTATATGTCACAACATGGTGGAATCAGGTGCTGGTCAGCTTTTGAGTATATGGATTATTATGTACCTTTCTTAAGATCAAAACACACTCATCACATCTCAGTTCAAATTTGCGAAAAAATGGCAGCCAAAATTGATGACTTCTAAAGCTAAAGTATCCTTGGAAACTGGGAATTTACATTTTTTGAGCCTTCGATTAAAGTTTTGCTGTAAAATCTAAACAACTGATATATATTTTTTAATGGACACAAATGGTGGTAAGCCAAAAAAATAAAAAAGAAAGGATAAAAATTGCCCAATGAGCAGAAAAATGTTGGTTTCTTTGACTTCAATCTTTAGATAAGCACATGATTTCACTACGATGCATCACTTTCGTAACGTATGATTTTAAATGAACTTTAAATTCTTTTGCCCAGTACAGAAACAGACTCCCCCCAGGGCAGTGTTACTGACTGTAGTGTCTTTAGGTCATTCCCAACGGGGGGACATTTCTTGTTCAAGCACAGTAGAATTGTAAATGGGCTGATTCTTGTCACGCTCATAACTGTGCCTGATCCACAACAGGGAACTGCTGCTTTTTCTTTCCTAATCCTTACTATTGTCATTTTCCGCTACTTCTTTTGTATGTTTGTCACTCTCTTGTGACCTGTTATTTCCGGGGTGCTTTGATAGTCGAAGCAGACCCTGTGCTGTTGAAGCTAGAGAGGAGAGCAGAATAAGTCTGATTCCCTGTAAAGACTTCTCTGTTGGCACTCACTCCTTGGCGCTCATATGACCTTGTGCAGTTGCGAGCGCCGTAAAACCCTCTACTATAATAATATAATAATAATACAGAACCAGAGAGGGACTTACAATTGTCACTGATGACGCTGGCTGCCTGAGTGGTGGTGACCACGGGGCTCGGGGTTCCCCCCCCTGGGCCGATGTTGTCGTTACACTGCAAGCCCACCATGAAGTCCGAGGACCTGGTGCAGTCGCTTTGCTGAGAGGCGAGACACTGGGTCAAGTTGCCTTCGTCTCCTCGACACTCGGTATCATCCATGAGAAAACTTCCCACAAATCCATACCTGCCGTCCAGAATTGCTTGTCCTCCATTCCTTTTAGATAAGATAAGATGAAATAAGATAAGATTAGAAATTTAGATAATAAATATCATATAATATAAGACAAAATAAGATAAGAGAAAGCAAGAGAAGAGAAGAGAAGAGAGAAGAGAAGATACATAATTTAAATATCAAGAAGCTTGCACATTGGTTTGGTGTGTCACCACTCACACGAGCACACACACACACACACACACACACACAGACACACACACACACACACACACAAACTCTCACATACCCTCTCTTCCCCATACATCTACACACATCTGAAGTCGTGGTAGAAATTTTTTTAATTAAAAAAACCTTGGCAGCCCGAGAAACACACTTGAAAAATTCATAGAGGCTCATCAATCATTCAGCTATCATATATAGAGTGACTCCCTTTGGTATTTACTTCAGTGCAGTGCGTCCATTCATTGTTTAATTATGTTTAGTGTGCCTAGCGCCTGGTTGCGTCGGCGACTACAGTCGCCAGCAGTAGTGAGCGCATACTACAGCCTGGAGACTTAAGTTGCCGACGGTACTGTAAGTGTTAATAAGTGAGGAAAATTTGTGTAAAGTGCTTCCCCAAGAATACAATGTCGAGTCCCTGAGGGGATTCAAACCCACCACCTTCAAATCAGTTGCGAGTCCAAAAGGCTAACCATTAGACCATTCGTACTCAACAAAGCACTGGCTTATTCTATGTGTTCTATCCTAGATGAACTTCCCCCATTCCTTTTACCTTCTGTTGTGAGAAAGATGGAACTGAAGCAAAGAGATGGAGCTCATGCATGAGAGTGTGTGTGTGTGTTTGTGTGTGTGTGTGTGTGTGTGTGCGTGTGTGCGTATGTGTGTGAGTGTGTATTAATGTGTGTGTGCATTTATGTGTATGTGTGTCCCTGTGTATGTGAGTAGGTGTAAGTGTGTACACATGCATGCATACATACATGCACACTTTTGTTAGTTTGTAAATAGGTGTAGTGAATGTGAAATCTCCTAAATAGAAGAATCCTATAGTCTAAATGTGGGTGATTGGTGGGTGCACTTTGCTGCCTCTTTCCAATCAAACATATATCGTACACATCTCTCCATTTTTTTAACTTTCTGTATCAGGGAAACATAGTTTTTTTTAGAGCATCCGAGGAAAGAAATGAATGGAGAACCATGATCACCAATGTCTGTCGCAGATCTGGCACTGGATGATGATGATGTATTACTCTCTGGTAACACTTCTAATCTAAGGCACTTAAATGACTTATTGGTGTCGCAAGTACCGTAAAACTCTTACTAAAACTAATACACAACTTACGTGAATCCCAGCATACGGCAAGCCACGATAGCCTCGTTCTGGCCAAACTTGTCATCGCAGACGCCTCCCCACTGGCCCGCATTGTCCACTTGGATCTCGAGTCTCCCGACTTGTCGACTGTTCGGGTCTTGGTCATTAACGATGCGGATATTTGTGACCGTGACACCTGAAGGCAATATATCATGAAAAGAGAAAGTTTATCACCATGGAAAAAACTAGTACAGTTGACTATGGATGGGTTGATGTCACCGAGGGTGAGAGACAAAAAGATCCACTCATCCAAAGTTCAACTTAACCTTTGGGATCTGTAAAGAAGAAAAGGTGCTGGGACCTGAGAAAAAGATCAATTTCACCGAAGATCAACAGAAGTGAGTTAAATGCAAGCCGAGTTGACTGTACATTACACTTGAAAGTTGTACGGTAACTTATTTGTTCACAGTTGTAGTTTTTTTATTTCTTCTGCAGTTAAAAGAATAAGCTTGAGGAAAATCTTAACCCCTTCATGACCTATAATTATAATAATTATGACGTACGCTGTTCGTTATTATTTTTTACACTGCGAATGATCCAACATGACGCTGTGATGTACGGAGTTCGTCATGCCTTGCGGAGCGCGAGGACCATAATGACTAACACCGTTCTTCATGGGTTGTATTCTGAAATACTGCTTCTGTTAGATACATTTTGTCAAACTAATCACAGATTTAAATTCGGGAGTATTTTTCCTTTTACTTTTAGATATAGTTAGTAGTGTTTGCAAATTGGACCTAATTATAGGAAACTGACCACTAAATCTAGCGCTACTCCGTGTCCCTGGTGATCCAAAACTATGCCCGGTGAAGCACAAACTGACCGTGTGTCACAAAGGGGGTTAACATGAATGAAAGTGCCTATAATAAGAACAGAAATTAGAGAGAGAAAGTAAGAGAGAGAAAGAGAAAGTGTGAGAGAGAAAGGTGAACGGGATTTAGATAGAAAGTCTGAGAGAACAGTGATCAGAGCGTGAGTGAGAGAGAGATG